CTGTTTTCATGGATGCCTGGATGTTAAACTTAATTGTTACACCTGGTAAAGCAGCAACGCTGATGATTTTATTACAGATGAAAGAATTTAGACAGTTTTTAACTCTCAGTGATGCCGCAGTGTTCGTTTGACTTTGGAACCTGAAGCGACAGAGTTTAGGACCCAGATTCCTCTGCGAGGCTCCTGACGCTCCGACAGTCCATCAAGCGGTGCGGCTTCGTAGCTTACCAAAGTCATATTAAAACATTTCTGAGCGCCGTGTAGCACATATAACCGGTTGAGGTCAGTAAGCACAACCAGAATTCATACATAAGGAGCACTGTTGATTTTTGAGAAAATTAAAGGATTTTAAGTGTGCCTTATAGTGCGGAAAATACGGTAGACATCAGGCATAATTGACCTGCCAAACCACAATCAGTAACCATTTCAGTTCTGATGTCTCTGCAGTGTCCATTTCACCATCAGCCTATCAACAAATGAGATTCACAAAGCAGTTTTATAAGTTTGCACAGCTGGTAATGTGTTTATTAAAACATACTCTTCATAAGAGTGTAGAAAACCAAAGTAAACCAGCCTGTATTCATATAAACATCAGTCATTGAATCGTTTGGTAATCCTCATTAGTGTGAGCATGACTCACAGTTGCACACATTTCTGATCATGTGTTATGCAGCAGGTGCCTGTAGGATGTGCTGGGTTAACGTCTTCATTTTGGCCTGCAGCAACCTGTTGCCTCTGCAGTGTTAGAGTCTTCAACATGGCCAGATCAGATTAAATCTTGAGACACACACTCAGTCTTTTTTTAATCATTTCAGAGAACATTATATTAACTTACCTTCATTTCCTGGAGACCAGATCGTGTCCACTACTTACCCTTCTCCACGATTCACTTCACCGGGAACCTCTTTTTCTCCCCAAATGGAACTCTATTGTACCCAACATATCAGTGATACGACTACACACACAGGAAGCAAGTGGTGACGCTGTTTGTGAGGCAGGAAGGAAACCAGTGAGCCCATTAATGGCAGCAGAGCACAATGAAGACTCTCACACTGAGCTGAAATACTCCCAGCCCCATGCATGACTGGAGTCCTGCTCCAGATTTTATCAATGTGCGACACAATGGTGCAGGCAAATACGCACACACTCACAGCTACACGCCAACATGTCGCTCTTTATTCTGTTTAAACACACTGTACTGTATGTTGATCATTTAGAAACACCAGTTAGTGTAACTGAGGGGAGGCAGAGTACTTGGAGGACACCCACCCAGGCAGGGGGCCGTGCTGACTCCTGCAGCACGGTCTGCTGGTTGATGCTGGGGAGCATCAGTGCTGACTCTGCTTCCCACAGTTGTGATGAATAAAAATGGAGAGATTTAAAATGTCAAACTTACTTATCCCGTATAAAGAGAACTTTTAAAATAAGAAACATTTGACACAAAGAGAATGGATCAGTTTTATAAACAGTAAATAATGTGATGTTTGACTTCATGTGCAGACTATATAGATCAAATGCTTATTCATGGACAGCACCGACTCTGCCTTCCAGCAGAGCTGTAACAAATC